TGTATTTGCGTATGACCAAATGATATGTTTATTATAATCACGCACTCGTACGTTCTACAAAAAGAATCAACTCCACAATGCGAAGAGTGCAACACTCGAAGCACGATAGATCACTCAATCTTCCGAATTGTCGGAAGTAAAACACATTCCGTGAAAAACATTCAGTGAAGCCTTTCTTCAAGGAAGATCTAGCGGATGAAGAAATCCACGAATTGGTAAAATTCATCAAGAAAATCTGGTTAGTCAATAGAATAGCATTTAATGTAAAACCACGCTTTTGATACGGCATTAAACTCTAATCTAAAAATTATGTATATTATATTACACGTTTTAACAGAAAGTAAGTTCTACATTGATGAAAACCAACTGCTGAGTAAAAGATATCACTTTCCTCTCATTTGAAGATATTCTGTATAACTTTCTCAAATAATCATCTCGTACAACGTCAGAGAAGTTGAATATCACTGTAAGAAACGATAAAGAAATTGATTGAAGCAAGTACGAAAATCAGAAGCGATCTTCCATCTTAAAATCGCCCAAAGTTGGGATGATTATACCGAGGATTCTCTTTTAAAACACGAGATTACGTCGTGAAGGATGAGTAATTAGCAATGCGAGATTATAAGCGGAATTTACAATGGTGGTAAAAATTAACCGATGCTTTTGAAAGGAGATGAGCGGCTTGCAACAGCGCTAGTAGTCAGTATGGGGTGAAAAATGCAGGGGAATCCCATGATCCGCCGATGGAAAATTACGCATCGTGGATATTATGATCGTGACTAATGCTGGGCGAATAATTAATCCCATTCTTCAACGACGTTGAGCGATATCACGATACGTTTTATGATACTACAGCTTGGATGAGGAGGATAAGAGGGTAGCTTCCTTGGCGATTAAACTGAAAAGTTCACCATAGAAAGGTCCTCCGGTTTTAATTTGAGATAAAAAAGCTTGTAGGGGGAACATATGTATAGTAGGAAAAAACAAAAGAAGTAATCACATACCTTTATTTTCTAATAAAGCATCCTTTTATCAAGTTCTATAAATTTCATTTCTAAAATACCAAATTTTTGTAGCCATACACATAAAAGTGTTACTAGATAATTCTGAAATGTGATATACTTGGACATACTAATTAATTAGTACGTATATGTTGTAATAAATACAATAATGTTCCAATATCTTTTGTAGTCATTGCAAATAATCCTTCTCCCTCCAGTATACAATGTGGGCAAGATGTATGATAACTAGTGGTACAAGCAACCGTGCCAAAGGTAATTCCTCGTGAAAAAATAAGTTAAAAATGTAGGATAATATTTTTACATACGAGACATCGATTTCGAAGAAAACGATTCTAAAAATCTGCTCGATACACGTATACTAACGTTTTATTAAATCAAAAATGTATTTTAGAGATTACAGGAGTGTTGACGTGTCAACTAAATTTATATTTAATTGTATAAAGTGTTCAAATATCTACCGACGTATAATTCTCTTATTAAAAAGAACAGTTTCAATTTATATACCAAAAAATTTTCTCATTTGCCATAGCGAAAGGTTTTAAAGTTTTTTTTTGAAGAACAGAAAGCAAAATATTATCAGAGATTTGTAGGAACATGTAACGGAACGAAAATATCATGTAGAAGTCAAGAAGTAAAACGTAATTTCGGATTCGAATAATTATTTCGTAATAAACCGACATATCCATCCTACCTGAAAAAAAAAAAATTGCAGGAACAGAACAATTTTAAACGTATGAAAATGAAGGTCTGATTTAATCGGACGCGCGTCGAATTTTTCATATAAATTCAAATTCTTTCATCGACGCGAGAATAATTAATATAGGAGTACCGACCAATATTTTATTAAAACGAACTTTTTATCGAAACGAAAATAATTTGAAATAAAGAGACGCAAGAAAGGAGATCTCCGTATTAAAAAATGCTTCGATTTACTTCCTTTTTTATTCCATGTAACGCGAATCCCACGTGTAACATGACCTATTTGCACACCGATTTCGAGAATCTGTGGAAAAAGAAGTATATAACCGAAAAAAATTGGTATTTATTCGCAAAAATAAAATTATGTAGTATGTGGATTGAATAATGACTACATCCATTATTTTCATCAGTATATTAGTTTTTAAATTTTGTTCATCGTGAAATTAAATATTTTTTCTAGGGTCTTGGAAATAAATTACCATGCAGCAAGTTCAAAAACTAGAATAAAGAGCATGAATCGTTTTTCGAAGCCGAATTTTCGATCGGAATATTAGCTCTTCGGGGACGATCATAGCTGAAATATTGCTTGCCATTAAACCGAGAAACAGCCACGTTTTGTTTCATTTAACGTGTTTGTATCACAGCGAGTTAATCATTTTATCGTCGTGCGACGTGAACAAGTTATACCCTTTATAGAATGTTTTTCCACGGTGACAGAGAGTGAAACAGCGAAACAGTTTTTCATTATTATTTCCATGTTTTTTTCATGAGCAATTTTTAAATTTTCTCTTCTGTATAGTACAATGATTTATCTCTCTAATATTATGAGAATATAAATTTCACGGATAATATCGTCCTCCTTATGTCAAACCCATGAATGTGCAAATTTATCCTCTGTTTTTCACTTTTTTAAAAAGTTAAACGAATTGCCTTTCTTTGTCTGCTTACTTTATGCCAAAACTGTTACTAATGTCACGAGTATATTATGGTCTGAGCTTCATTTATGATCTGTAGAATTATCTCGTTTCATTTTACCTTCAATCGTGAAGTACCGAATTAATTGTGAATTTATCGAACCACGAGTTCATGATATTGGCATAAGAGGGATATGCTCTAGTATTCATTTAACTGTCACGAAATTATTCTCGGCAATTAGTGAAAATTCCTCTATATATGCCTTGTGTGAATTTCAAAATTTATAATAAATTTTATTTTTCATTTTATTCTATTCGTGCTAAATGTTTCTCGTTCTCGTTTCTAATGCAATCAAAAAGCAAACGAATTAGAAATACGAAATAAAAATATTTAACACCCTCTGTAACCAATGCATTTTACTTATCTTGTTACAGCTAATTGGATATTACTGCAATTTCATTTTTTACCACATAACCCATTTTCAAACAGGATAAGAAGGATTGTGAAAGATAGGTAAGATAAGTTACATTATTTACAGCGTGCAACAAGTACTCTTTATTATGATCAGTTTTCATGAGAAAACTTTTACTAAATAACTTAAAAATTATATATATATACAAAACTTTAAATCTAAGTTAAATCTATATTCGACTTATTCAAAATATGTTTTACACTGTACTGATACATAGCAGCATTGATTTTCTTCAGTTTATCGATCTCGTCCTTCATCTCGGAAAACTTTTTCGAGATTACGTCCTCTGATCCGGCCATATCGATATTTTTTTCTGTGTACAAATCAAAATCTAAAATGTCTGTTGTATTTCGATCCCTTGAAATCACTTCGATGAAGCTTTCTTTTCCGCTATCGTCCGATATCCTATGTAAATTACATAGTTGTAAACGCGGCTTAAGGTTGGTGACCCGGAAATTGTCGTAGTTTTTCGCGAAGAATGCAGCGGTGATTGGTCCCTTGTGATCGATCGTACGAAGAATCTGACGACTCGCTATGTCCCAGACGTGAACTTCGCCGCTGGTCGAGCCCGACACCAGGTATCGACAATCGATCGATATCGATAATGATACTACGCTCGATTTGTGCCCCTGGAAAACTATCACTCCATCCGAATTTCCGTCATTCCGTACCTGCACATGATGCTCTATTCCACGTGGCGGCTCGTGCAAATTGAATCCATATATGTCACCGTTTGTGCAGCCCACGAATAAATCACTTTCGCGTGCGTTCATGGAAACGGAAGTGAGTGGCACGTCGAACACAAGGGTGAGCAATAGCAATCCGGAGCCTGGGTCGTAAATGTTGCATGTTCGATCGAGAGATACGGAGCACAGTCTTCCTCGCGCGCCAGCATGTCCAAATTGTAGGTCCTTCACTGGCAAAGAGTGATGAGAGAATGCGTGCAATGGCGTAGGATGTTCCTCGTTCAATACACGATACAACGACCACACGAAAATTAATCCGTCCTCGGCGCCACTGGCGAAAATGGAACCGTCTTTGCTGAACGTCAAACAGGTCACTGTCTGATAATGTTGCGATAAATTCTTTAACAAACGCCCGTTGCACAATTGCCAGAGGAATAGTTTTTCGGAAATGGCCGCGACCATGTAGGCGCCATTGGGCGTGCAATTCAGAGCAGTAACCTTTCCCGGTGTTGTCAGTCTCAGGTTAGATACGGGAGAATGACTGTTCAATGGCCAAACATGTATACGCGGTTTCGTTAAATCCGCACCCACTATATAACTGTCGCTTAAAAGTTGAAGAGTTCTATGACTGAGAGCACCAGCATTTTTATAAGTCGATAAAATTGAACCAGTTCGGTGATCCCACACAGCTGCACTCCAATGTTCACCGCTACTGTCACTAGTTAAAATCACCTCTCTCGTGTCGGCAATTCGCGACATTTTTATTATAGTTTTATTAAGCTTAAAAACTGATTATGGTTACTTTAAGTCTTAACATATTTTGGTATAAATCTTTTCGTTCGATTTAGTATTCTCTCGAGTCGAGTTCTAACTTTTCTGTAAACACGTGCGTTGCACTAGGTTAGATTTCCACCATAAACCATAGCGCTTTTAGAGCCACTAGTCGAGACTTATTTTAGGTAGTACAGAAACGATTCTATTGGACAGTATAACCTCTCAAGTATCATTCATTCCCATAAAATCTTTTGCTTAAATAATTATAATGACTGAATAAATTAACTTTCTTAACAAATTTTTTTCGTTTAGCGTATTTTTTGTGAAAGGAATAACTTATATATACAATAATATCATAATAATTTTATAATTGTATATATTTAATATATTTTATTATAAATAATAAACTAACGACGAAATTTTCCTTTACCAAAATCTTATTTCTTGATACTTATTTTCCATTCACTTACTTAAGATATGTTACATCATAGTAGGAAGTATCAATGTTGATGATTCATGTTTCAAAACAGATGAGTATATCAAGCAGAGCTTCCTTGACTGACCTTGAGAATAATAGTATTTATATGACATAATCTTAATCTTCGAGAATCGTTAGTAAAGCATTTTTTAAAAATTTGGTTTTGCTATATCAGTCTATTTTAGATTTAGATGATCGGTTCCACCTGATAATAAAGCCGATAAGGGGTTACTAGATCGTGAAGTAATATTTGTTTCAATTTTCTCATGGGCTTTCTCGATGATGAATTACAAGAGGTATCAAAACTTTGTCAAAATGTCGTTGATGGTAGCCGTCTCGTTTCTTGTGTTTGTACCATGGTGCGAGTGGAAATAACGTAAGTTTACTTCTAGCGATTATGATAACTGACTAACTATTACCAAATAATTTCCTAATTAATTCCATTATTTACAAACGTCATAGGAAGACCGAGTTCAAGACCATCGTCGTGTGCATACAGTTCTCGAAGAGCTATCCTAATGCTCCATTGTTACTTGAATTGAAGAGCAAAACTTTATCTGTGAAGTTACTTAACGGTCTAACAGAAGTCTGTGAAAGGGAATGCAAGAAATTGTTGGGAAAGGCACAGGTAAATATTTGAATCTACCAAATCGAACAATTTCTTATTTATATGAATTTACTACATGAATTTTAATTAATGCTGTAGGTGTTACCAATATTGAAATTTATCCGTAATTTCATTGACGAAAATCCTTTGATTTGTTGCTATGATGAAATCACAACCATAAAAAAACTCTTGGGGGACAACGATGAAATAAAATTGAAACAAAAATATTCTTGTATTGGTTTGAAGATTAAGAAAGAGTTATATTATTTCAAAGCTAAAATTGATGTACCAGATAATTATCCGGTTGCCTGTATAAAGTATGTACCAATGACGACTAAAGACATAAACAAGAAATTTATATTTCTTTTTAATAATTGTTTTGTTTGTAGATTGAAAGATGTAGATACAAATTTTCCTCCACTATTTACACGCCATTTCACAGGTCAAGGAAGGGAATTAGCCAGACAGTGTGTAGAACCACCGCTTACGAAGAAATCACACACTCCTTTTATTCCCTCACCATCCTTGGAAGTTGTTACATCTTTTCTCATACAGTATGTCTATTTATCAATGTTCATGTTATATCAATATCATTTTTACTCTTATTTAATATTTTCTTTTTGTGAATTATATCACCTAGATGTGTAAAGAGTTTGCCACAGGAGCATTGTCAGTCATGCAAACAAACATGTCTGCCAGAGAATCCAGAAAATGCAGAAACCAACGAAACTGCAGATATGCATGTAGAGAGACTTTACTGTGGACATTTGTTTCACCTACGCTGTCTTGTGACATACATGAAGACTCCTCCATTCCATGGTAATTTCTATTATTGCATCGAATATCAATTGTCACATTAATGTAATGTAATATTAATGGGAAATGGTAATAATGTTTGACGCGAATATTTATGCAATTTTATATTTTTATGAATATAATTAAGTAACCTAGACAGCACTTAGTTTCATCTACTAAATATTGTAATAAGTACTTTGTTCCCGATATTTTACATATATTTATGTATTATATGTATTTTGTAGATTTTTATACACTTATATTTCCAAAAGAAGGCACACATCAGCATTTTAGTTTCAAATAATATTGTTTATTCTATTATAGGGGGTAAAAAATGTCCAACATGTGAACAACGTATCTATCATGAAAAATGGGGTGTAAGCGATAAGCTTGCAGAAGAACGTTGGGCTCATCAACAAGCCCGAGCTAGGGAACTAGCAGAGGTAGAAGATTTTTTCAACTGAAATCTACATTTCATTTAAATCATATCTCTAAGTGATGATATTTCCATGAAAGAGTGCAATATCACGAAGAGAATATTGCTATGGACAATTAGGAAGAAATGAGTGGTGAGGATGGGATAACAAGCGTAGGAAAATTTTCAAAATAACATTATTTATAATTCCACGCGTATCTATGTTCGCGTACAAGTGTATATAGGTCAGTGTTAAAAGAAGGTATTTTTAATACCGTGAAGTTTATTATGATATACACTAAACTGGTTTATATATATGCTTTATAATAACAATTTGCTTGATACGGTGCTAATATTTCGCATTATTCAATTTTTTTTTTACTAAACTAACATTGTAAAATATTTGTAACATTGAAGAAAGAATTATTCAATGATTTTGTATAAATTTAGATCTTCAGTCTTTTTTATATTGAATATTTGAATTTGTACTTTGAAATAACTAAAGAACTTATTTTATATTACACCGATATTGAAAAGACGTTTTAATTAAAATATTTGAAAGAAGAAAAATCAATTGGAAAATGCTGTTGATATACTACTTATCGTGCGTTAAAGTACTCACCAGTTCGGTTACGAAGTGCCTTTCCATGTTTCACTATTATGACGGGGATAGTACTGAATGTTACTTGTGCGTGTTGTGAAGTGCGTCCTCATATAGTTTTTAATATCTTGATGTTGAATTGAATTTAATTGAATCATATTATTAATTAACTATCACAGAAAGATATAATATAATTTGTTAATAACTGACAACAATATTCGACCGTTAAAAACTTTCAATGTCGCGGATCGAATATTCCTCGTGCGAAAAAGGGCGCGATATTTAATGTACTGATTTCAGCGCCACTCGCGGAGTGCAGAATTAATCGATGTTATCGAAACGTCTAATTGCAATTTTTCAAAAACTCTTAAGGTTGGACACTTACTGTATAACAAAACAAACAAAACAATCAATTTTTACTAGTAACTAATAATTAATGTATGAAACAAAAACAAAGTATATTCTTTCTTAACAAAATTGTTTTTTACGTGGAATGACTTATACATTTTTATTTTTGATTGTAATAATAAATATTTGTGGAAGAATGTATTTTACTACGTCAATTTTATTCCAAACGAAAAATATTTAACTTAAAAGACATGAGAAACTCACGTGTATTAATAACTAATAATCTTCATGACTTTAATGGAGTTCTAAATGTAAATTTTTCTCATAATCGATAATCGAAAAATGGTCGATACGGTTTATAGCGGAACCATGGCGGAACGAAACATACAAGGTATTTATCGTATGTATCGAGTAGCTATATATACTCTTATGCCTTTGTGTACTTGTGACCATGGTTGTGACATATTATATTGATCCTCGGTACCGACTACGATGATCCTCTATTTATCTCGTTCTCGTATTGACTTTCACGGCGTAGTTTGTGCGGACATATTTTTATTTGTTCCGTAGTTTGTCTTTCTGTGGACTGGCATTTTTTTCATGTACATTTTAGTCCGGTACGACACGGATGATAGTGTGTTTAGGTGGAGCCACGAAAATATAGAAAGGTAAACTTTTACGAGTGAACTGGTTATGATAACCCAATTTCAAAATCGTTTATTTGTTCTGAGTGGAGCCTTATATCTTCATTTTCCATTGTGGAATTATTGATCGAAGTTCGTCGAATTTCAGTTGGAACTCCGTTTTTCTTATGTAATTTTAAGTACATACAATGAAAAACATTCATTTTTATCTGAGTTATTTAATGTATTTATCGTTTCAATATCTTATTTGATAATGAAATGATAAATTAATTTTAATGTACAGTACTTAATTTTAAATGGCCTATACATCAGAATTTATAAACGTGGTATATATTCAATGAACTAGATTTTAATCTCGATTCGATAACTAAAGTAACGACATTATCGACTGTTTTGAATAAAAATATTTCTTCACCTAAGAACATTCTCTTATTGAAAATCATTTCAGGCAGTGAAATAAATCAGAAAACAATATTAATCTAATAATTTTCCATTCAGCAAGTGTACTTGCCAGTTATATTTAACTTGGTTATCTATACGATGTAATTACTTTAACATGATTGGCAAGGTTTTTCACGTAGATGCACGTACTTGGTTCTGGCAGACAGCCTGTCAGACTAATTCCCAGTTATCGATTCCACGCATACGTGGAAACGCACCGTTGTGTTGCATTCGTAGGGTGGGTGAACTGTGTCTTTCTTACACGCCGCGTCACCCAAAATATGTTACGAGAAATAATTATTACAGTCAGAATTCTGCATTCTACCAACTTTTATTATAAAAATTTCTCAGTCTAAACATTGTTGATTATTCCGTTTTATTCATACAAATAACTAAATAAGCAGTCTTAAATTATAATATTTTAACACGGTTGTAATATGGCTCCCAGGTCCTCTTGCATAATAATTTAATGATATAATTTCATTTAATAATATTAGTAAATTAACAAGGTACGTTATAAATTTCTTTTTCGTTCCAATCTTTATATTTTTATATTCAGTAAGATAAATTATTTTGAAAGCTGGAAAATTAACAAAATTTAATAAGGAAATTATTATAAAGGTCTCCTAAAACTTTTAATCTTCTTATCTATATTAACTAACAAATTAAATTTCAAATTTGCGAAATGAATATTGTTTCCTGACAATCAGGTCTAGAGTTATAATGATGCTTAATAACTTCATGATACAATGATAAAGGTAATTTCATGATACTACGCATACAATCAGAAGCTACAAGTTTTCTTCATTCATAAATTTTACTTCTAACATTTAATTTGTTCTATGACTAAACTTCTTAATGTTGTATAGAAAAATTTATCAACATAGATAATTTGTAACTTACAATTTACAAAATTTCACTAATAATATTAGTTCCATTGTGCAAGACGGCGACCATTCATTACACTTAACTAATCATCTTTTACCTACCGAATAAATTGAATAATTTTGTCCTCTTGAATATTTGGGTGGGAAGGGCTATAAGTTCACAAAGTTGATAAAATTTAAAATTGTAAAAATCCATAAAATGCACGTGACATGCAGAAACGTATAAAATATCAAAAGTGTAGTACTCATTGTAATATTTAGTGGGAGAAATAAATTTTATAGATTCCGTTTGCTTAATTGGGTACAAAGAAATAGGTATTTGCATAAAAATTCGTATAATTAATAGTAATTTATATTTCTTTAAATAAGTGTTATATCTTTAGTAATATGATTAGATGGATGATATTGGACCCGTTTATGGAACTCTCTTGGGTGGAACAGTTTTAAGCAACAGTATAACTGTCCTCGATAGAGCGTTCCTCGCACGGCCATCGAAGAATTCGCGATTCCGATGTCGCGGCCGAATTTCGGGGATCGTCCTTGTACGCCGACGGCGATCTATCCCCCGGCTATGCATGTACCAGGGTCGTATTATACACACGATACACCTATAATTGCGCGTAGGGCAGCTTCGTCGTAACGCTTCGTGGATCGATAGCTGGGAAATGGCCGGAAGCCAAGTCCGACGACGTCGTTTCGAGTTTTGCCGTTGTCACTGTATGGGACCTAACCCCTTTCTTCAATGTCCCACTTGTATCGGCCACCCCCCAACGCAGAGCCCCTTCTTACACCCTTCTTCTTTCTTCTCAAAGCGAAACAACTTTCTTTCCTTCGAGATGCATGGAGATTGGCCATAAGTTATGTGAACATCTTGTTCGGTTTGTTTTAATAATAAACGAGATGTTAGCAGAATGTACGAGTTCCTGGGAAATTAATAATCGTTAACGTTAGTAAATGTTTAGAACATTGGAATTTGATATTTTTATAGGCTGGAGTTTGTAGAATTTTTCATTCTTGATAGCTGCAATCAAGAGTGTGGAATTTGTAAAATTTTAAACTGCCGAAGATCGGAATTTGTCTATTTCTAGAATTTCTCCAGGATGAAATGTCTCCAAGTTTAGATGGTTGTAGATTAAAATTTGTATGTTTCTGAATTTTCAATGATTGACAATTTAAGATGCTTTTAGCGTTAGATATATTGGAAAAGATTAAAATCCAATCTCAGAATATTTTTTGAAATACATTGTAACAAATATTAGCAATATAATAGGGCTATTATGTATCTTCTATTTTTCTACTGTTCTTTCGGTGAATTTAATGGGCACACAGGAAGCCTGCTACCAATTATGACATTCGAACGCGGGTTTAAAAGCAACAGCGGTTTTTTCACCTGCTCCCTCGAGAGTCTCGTTGTTTGTCTTTCTTTGTGTGTTTAATCATAGACGTTTGGGCGAGTCGCGACCCGGTCTGTGGAATAGGCGCAACGCGGGATGCCGCTTATCCCAGTTTCTTTAAATCCTCAAGGGCAGCAGCGAGGAAAACACCCCCTGGTGAAATAACGATATCGAAATATGACGCAATGTTTAACCAATAGGGTGCACTACGGAATAATACATACATTGTTTTTTCTTCCTTCCGGCTCGTTTATTCCCTTTATCTATTTAATTACAAGAAGATTTTGTTTCTTTTTCAAACAAAGTAAATACCTGTATTGTTGTTTTTAAGTACAGACAAAATGTTGCAATTTAATTATAAAATAATAACATCTGAACAATTGCAATCAAGATTAAACCAAATTTCTGTATAACACACATTATATATGAGCGCTAAGATCATAGTACTCTATATCGCTTCTAATTTTCATAAAATGGCATGTTCTATGCTTATTGTTGTAAAAAATTGATCATGTTTTTTAAAGAGATTGCATATTCCAGATTGCTGATACTTTTAAATATCAAATGTTGAAATATGTGAGTGAATCCACTAATATAATCGTCGATTTGAAAAATATCCCAGTAGAACTGCACTTAATTTACTCGAGCTAAATTCCAATCTACATAAACGCCGAATGCCAAGAACAATTTCCTACATTATACACCAAATTATATTCGAAGCGGTGATATCATTTTCTAGCAATAATATGTTTCATATAATATATACATATATATGCACATACAAAGTTTCTAAGAGCATTCGAATACAGTGTATGAACGCCAAATGCCAGGGCCAATTTTCTACATAAATCGACGCCTCCGTGACGATATTCTGGCAATGCCAGTGAAGAAACTAGGAAGTTGAATGAGTTCTGC